CCCTGTGGGCCAAATCATGATGACATCAGATGACTGACAGGTGGGCAGTCCCACATGCCTTCTTTGCCAGCACATTCCTCCAGCGCCAAACAGCTGATGACTGGAGGGTCTGCTTTCCTTCAGGGAGCATGCTGGCAAAGCAGCACCCAGTAGGATTGAGCCCCACCTATCAGCTAACAGCAACAACAGCCATGATAATAGAGTGCTGCCATATGTCTGGGAGTTCAACAACTTTCAGTGTGTCCTTGTTTTTACTTTTTGAAATATGGCAACCCGAAATAATAATGGTGGTGATGATATTATAATTTATACCCCACCCATCTGGCTGGGTTGCCAACTGGAGATGTCAGCTGGTTGACAGGTAGGCATCACTTGGGGGATAAAGGGTAGTATATCCAGGGTACATATCTAGTACAAGTCTTCAAAGGACCTGGTGCTGGAAATCCTTACAGTGGACTTTGCCAATCTGGTGCCTTCCAGATGTTTTTTACTCCAGTTTCCCATCAGCCCCAGCAGCCTTGTAAGGCAAATTGGCATTATTCTCATAATACAGACCTGTAGATGAGGCTGTGGTATGAGACTTGCTTAACGTCACCTCAGTGCTTCCCCCCCCACCCCTAAAAAAATGTTTAGGGGTACTTTCATTTTTCTACTCATACTGAAATACTGCCCCTCAATGAGGCCAAACTTAGATTCACAAAATATTTAGGGGTATGCATACCCCTGCGTACCCCCAGAAAAAAACAGTTTGTCACCCAGTGAGTCGGTTGCAGAAGGAGAGGTTTGTGACTTTTATCCCCTTAAGAGATTCTCTCCTAGGGATGCATGCCTGGCACCTACATACAAATTTCTTCTTGGTTCACCGGGAAGCCTTAAGCAAGCGTTTGAGCTGGAGAGTTCTGTACCAGCATCCATTGCCAGGGATTTCTGAGCTGTGAGTCTCCCATTATGCATGGCATCCTCTGTGCCCCTTCATATTTCCTTTCCAAACCGCTGCTTGGGTTACTTATTCAGTCCAGCCAGCTCTGGGTGTAGCCTAACTATTGTGTTTGTTATGCAGGAACAGTTAAGTCACTTGGGAAGGCAATACCAAAGATGGTCCTCTGCCAAAACACCATTAGTAACTTCCTTCTTTTCATATGGTCTGAACCTTCTTCACCAATTCCTTCTGTTCCTTTAGAAGAAATGCTGAAGATGAATTTAATTAGTACTAGCAGGAAAGTTTCAACATTAGTAAAACTGATTCTGACGACCTCTGTGATCTGTGAAAAGCATACATTGTTTGGTTTTTTTTAAAAAAAGTTGTGACACCAGGTGAAACTGAAAAATAGGAAGCTGTTATTTTGATGGGGCTACTTGAGGGGTCTCTCCTCAACACACACTTACCCAGAGTCCCAGAGAAGGGCTTGCATTATTATTATTATTGTTATTATTAGTATTAGTAGTAAAATTACACAACTTTTAGGAGACATCTGAAGGCAGCCCTGTATTGGGAGGTTTTTAATGCTTGATGTTTTTAGTTATGCTGGAAGCTACCCAGAGTGGCTGGGGCAACCCAGCCAGATGGATGGGGTATAAATGATAAAATTATTGCTATTAGTAGTAGTAGTAGGATCCTGCCTATCTGACCGGGATGCCCCGGCCACTCTGGGTAGCTTCCTACAAAATATAAAAACACAGTAAAACATGCATCAAACATAACTCATCTCTGCATTAACCGGAAAGTTTTTAAAAAAACAATAATTGACTTACAAATTTGTTAGCCGACAGTCATTTGTTTTGTTATTATTATTCTAATTGTTTTGTTTTACATTTATGTACATTATATATGATGTAAAAACTTAATAAAGCCTTTTAAAAAAAAAAAGCAATACACTTTTACACAAGTCTCCCTCCACATTTGTAAACGTGTTTTGCATGCTATATTATTATTATTCACTGTAGTCCTATTTTATGAAACCACATAATCCAAATGTGCAGAAATTATTCCAAATGTTAACAAATTGAACAAAAAGAGTGCTTGTGCCCTTTGTTAGAAAAGCCCTTGCTTCACTCCTCCTCTCCACCTGCTCTTGCTATCCCAGGGAGGAAAGAAACCAGAGGCTGGCTTCGTCTTACCTTTGAACCAGTGCTTGAGGTTTGTTTCCTGCAAACAAACTATGGATAAGCCAAGAACAAATATTTGCTTCAATTTGTACTTTGGAGAGAAGCAAACCTTGAGCTCTAGCTCATGCACAATGGTTTGGGCCTGCAACAGCCTCTGCGCAGCCTCTGGTTTGGGACTGCAGCGGGCGTCAGCACACTAGTGCTTGTTCGTGTTAAACCATAGCTTATTTTTAACTGCTATGTCCAAGTCAGACCAATATGTTGTAAATAAAGTTTTCCCCTGGAACAACTTAAAATCAGTGCTGTGTGTAGTGGTTTGAGTGTTGGACCAGGACCGGGGTTCAGCTCCCCACTCAGTCATTCAGCTCGCTGGTTGTGACCTTGGGCCAGTCACTGCTTCTCAGCCTCGATCTTCCTCACAGGGTTGACGTGGAGATTAAATGAAGAGGGGGTGAATGATGTGTGCCACCTTGAGCTGCTTAGTGGGAAAGTGGGCTATAAATGCAATAAATAAAAAAGAAAGCGTATAGAAAATATAGTTTCCCTCAAGTACTAATCTATATTGCCCTTGAAGGGAGGCACTGAGGGACGGAGGACTAATGTGGTATGTTTCTCTATCGATGTTGGGGTGTGTGTGTGAAGAAGAGTGAGATATTGCTATGTTCACATTTGTGCCAGTGTTTTTTTTTAAAAAAAATAGCTTGACTTCCGATACTCAAAGAAACGGACAAGACTCACAAATATTTTTGCTGTTACTTAAAAAGCAACAAAAAGAACAGAAGCTTTTTCAGGCAGCAGAGCAACTCGTCTGATTATGGAACTTTGCATAAAGTTCCATGTATGTTGATGGCGTTATATGTATATTTTCAGGTGGATTTGCTGAATGCTGGGAAAATAAATTCAGCTGTAGTGACCCTTTGCTCTCCTTTGCCAAATGCTTTAAAAGTACTTCCTTTTAAGCAGGTTTGCTGGATTTCCTTCTAGCAGGTGAAGTCATGGAATGAAAAAGTATCCCCAGAGCTTTGTTGCTATTGCTGTGAAAATGCAGGTGTGCAAACAAGGAAGAAAACAAAAGGCAAGCTGGCCTCTCTGTTTGCCAGAGCAGCAGGCAGGCTGCCTACTCACCACTCACTGCGGAGTGCAGTCCCTGCAGCAGCGATAGCAACTGCAACAGGACATGGCGACAATGCCTTTCTGGTCAAATCCAGTGGTAGCAAGAATGCCCTTTTAAGGGTGTCCTTGCACACACTCATGGGTCAGTTGCATTGTGCTGGGAGGAAAAGGGAAGTTCTCTCTTGCTATATTTGTATATTGGACTTTTATGGGCATAGAGATGAGCCTGTTCCTCAGGAGCAGCGAGTCATGGCTGCACTTGGGGTAGATGCCAACCAGGAGGTCCAGCGCCTCCATACTCAGGATGTTCTTACTGGGCCATGGCCCACCCAGCAGGCATAATTTGGACAGGTTGCAGGATTTGGATTCTTTGGAGCCTGATGAGCAGTGTGAATATGCCATACTAATGCAGTACAGTCTTCATAGTCTTTGGAGAAGGCAGCATGGGAAACTGCCTTAGACAGAGCCACACCATTACTTGCATCTGACCCAGTATTGCTTCAGGCCATGGAAATACCAGGGAGCAAATGAAGAGGACTCCTATATGATAAGACTAGGAGTGGATTGGTAGGACCATGCACCACAGGGCAGCCTTCGCCGACATGATGCCCTGCAGATGCTTTGGTCTACAACTGCCATCAGTCTCACCATCATACATCCCTGAGGTCTGCGGCTGATGGGAATTGTAGTCCAAAACATGGAAGTCTGCATGGGATGGGGGTGGGGTTATCATGGTGCCTTCTTGTTTGTGCAGCTCCTTCCTGCCATTCAGTGTAGTGCTATGCGACATAGAGGAGGGCGTTGAATGAAGGCACATGCTCTAAAAACAAATAATTAATCCAGACTTGGTGCTGAAAGGGAAAAGAGAGAGAAAGAGAAGGCAATGTTTGGTTGGGCACGTTAGCTTGGAAGAAGATAATTGCATAGCTGGTTTTTCAGTCAGCACTATGGGTTTAAGGGATCCTGCAGAATTTTGCACACGACTCTGCATTTAACCACATCTGGGCTCTTCCCTGTTGTGTCACCTCTGAAAAAGTGACACTGCCAGCACTTAATGCCACCTGAACTCTCAAGTGGAGCCACTGGCTCAGCAATGACTCAGTGGACAGAGCCATAATTACTACATTGCCACCCTTTCTTTCTAAGTTACCACCCGGAGTGCTTCGTGGTCTTGCTCCAGGCCAAGGGCAAGACCCCCAAAGGAAAAGCTGCTGCTGTCATTCAGACAGGGAAGGAACCTGAGGTTCTAGCGTGTGTGTGTGTGTGTGTGTGTGTGTGTGTGTTGCTGAGCCTGTCTGAGGCCCTGACAATATGCTTGAGTTTGTTTTCGCAGTTTATGTGCTGAACTCTTTCTCTTCTCTTGTGTTCAGAAATAAAAGTCTTCAAGTTGGCAGAAGCAGTGAAAACAAGAGGGTGTTTTTTTTAAGCACTGCTTTTGTGGGTCTGCCTTTTTTCTTTTCCTTTTTTCAAGAAGAGCAGGTGGAGTGGAGCATACTCCCTAAAAGCTGAAATTCTTAACGAGTTCCTTTTATGATGTAGAAACAAAGGCACAAGTCAACCCATAGCTTGGTATTGTCTACATTGACTGACAGCAAGATTTTCATACAGCTCTCCCTAGAGATGCTGAAGACTGTACCTGGAACCTTCTGCATACAAAGCAGGTGTTCTGCTATGGAACTGCAGCCCTTCCCCATGGAGGAAGAGCCTTGTCATCAAACTGTAGAATTGGAAGGGACCACAAGGGTCATCTAGTCCAACTCCCTGCAATTCAGGAATCTTTTTGCCCAACGCAGGGCTTGAACCGATGACCCTGAAATTAAGAGCCTTTTGCTCTCCCAACTGAGCTATCCCAGGTTGTTGCCTCCCACCACATGGGACCAATTCCCTGGACTGTGTGCATATGATTTTAAAATGCATTGGATCCATGTCCAAACCCTGCCTTTCTCTGGAGATCCCTGGTGATTGTGAGCAAACATTTTCATCCCAACCTACTTGACATGATAGTTGTGTGGAGGCAGGTTATGGCAACTCTGTTGGAACATGGCTGTGCTCTTGCAGATCTTGTGTTCATTTCAGTGAGGCTTGCACAGGAGACCTTCCCAGTGTGCCTTGTGCTCTGTTCATGTAACCAAAAGACAGGGGTGGGCTAGGAGAGCCTGCTTATGCTCTTCCTTGCACAACTATATTGCAAGGTAGGACAGTCAAGTCCCAGTGCTATCCAGCAATCACTGCCACTACCGCATCTCAACACATACAGCTCCCAGGTAATTATGTGTTGCTTGAGGAAATATTTTGAAAAGGCTCTTGCTGTGAGGAGTCACTCAGCAATGGGCAGTGCACCACCCCTCCACATCTGGTAGAGAATAGCTTTCGGGAAGCAGTTGCCTATATTCCAAAGCATAGGCAAAATATTTATGGAATGTTTCCTACTGCAAATTAACTCTCCCCTCCCCGCAATGAATCACTTTTGTAAGAGTGATCTTAAGTGCTGATTATTTTTCCAGCTGACACAATATGAAGAGTGTCTGTTTATTTTGGCCTCTTTAGGGAATTTCTTTGGAATACAAAATCTCACAAGGGATTTGCTTGATATCCCACCCAGCAGACTTTTCTGGGACCCTGTGCTGTTTATCCTTGTTCTAGTCCTATGTGTGGTTTTTCCTTTGCCTCGGAATAGGATGGCTGGTTAGCAGCTGCGTATATGACGAATGCACCTAATGAGTGTGGAAATGCAACTTTTGGCAATTGCTTTTGAAAATCTCACCTGTCTAGAATGGTGACCTGTGAATGGATGTCTCTGGTTTAGTCAGCCTCTGTGTAGATACCCTGTTCTGGCTATAGCTTTCTGCAGGCAAACATCACTCTGAGACTTGACCTCCATCCAGCGGTGGACCTACATTTGGGGGGCCTTGAAGCTTGAACTGTTATGGAGGCCCTTCACAACCAGCAATGAGGTCTGGGTAACCACTACAGTGGTACCTTGGGTTACATACGCTTAAGGTTACATACGCTTCAGGTTACAGACTCCGCTAACCCAGAAATGTTACCTCGGGTTAAGAACTTTGCTTCAGGATGAGAACAGAAATCGAGCAGCGGCGGTGCAGCGGCAGCAGGAGGCCCCATTAGCTAAAGTGGTGCTTCAAGTTAAGAACAGTTTCAGGTTAAGAACGGACCTCCGGAACGAATTAAGTATGTAACCAGAGGTACCACTGTATTCTCTTCTTCAGTGGGTTGTTCCATTAAAGATCACCATAAATTTTCTGTGAGTTTGCATTTTTGGTGTCTACTTAAGTACATTTGTGAACTCATTGTTATTCCCCTACTGTCTTGACCTCTGTTAAAAGGAGGGGGGGCAATTAAATTAGCCACAGCAGAACAGCCAACTTACCATAGCACTCCACCATTACAACATCTGTGCTACTGACTCAAATTTTTGGATTGTTGAAATATATACAACAACAACAACAACAATTAATCAGTTTGAGTCATGTGACTCAAATTGGGTCTAGACCCCAAAATTTTAAGCAATGTGAACTAAAGTTGCCTCTGGGGCCCCTCCAGGATTAGGAGCCCTGAAGCTTAAGCTTCATTAGTTTCATAGTAGATCCACCCCTGCCTCCATCTTGTTTGTGTCCTCAGTTGTTCCATTCAGTTCCTTGAGGGAGCCCTTCTTATCTTGTGACCTGTTTATCTAGGAATTTGCTCTGTCCTGTTACGGGGTCTCTGTAGGCCTTTGTGGCTGTTGTGTCATCATCTGTTGCATCAAATGCACTATATATTTAATGCAGGACCATACCACTTTAAACAGCCATAGCTTCCCCCAAAGAATCCTGGGATGTGTAGTTTGTTTAGGGTGCTGAGAGTTGTTAGGAGACTCCTATTCCCTCTCAGAGAGCAGCAATTCCTAGAGTGGTTTATCGATAAGTCCCTCTTTCCAGGGGACTCTGGGAATCGTAACTCTGTGAGGGGAATAGGGGTCTCCTCCTAACAATGCTCAGTACCTTTAACAAACTGCAGTGCCCAGGATTCTTTGGGGGAAGCCATGACTGCTTAAAGTGGTATGATACCGCTTTAAACATAGTGCAGATGAGGCCTCCATCTCTGATGTCAAATTCTATTTAAAGAGCTGCTGGTGACTGTGAGGAGATGAGCCCCAGAAACACGGTGACTTCATTTTCTTTGAAGGTGAGCAAGCTCCTTGTGCCTGATGAGGATGCTATTCACCCTGAAGGGCTTCTTTTTGTCCTCAGGAGACCAACTCAGACAAGGAGACTTGAATGGAACTTCTGCCCAACAAAAGGAAGTCACTCCATCAACTTCAAAGAGGATAAGATCAACTACTGAACACCACAACATCTTCTTTTTGTTCTAAAGTTGTGTTTAGACAAAATATTTGTTTTCCTGGCTTAAAAAGACTGCTATGGCTTGCCTTAGCAGGATCCAAACTCCCCTTTGTAGCATAAAATATTGGGGAGGAAAATGGGCACCAGCCATCTGAGGCCACCAGTACAGGATGTCAGCAATGTCTAGGTAACCCGGTGACCATTGTGTTGCCTAGACATTGCTGACGTTCTCTTTGCAGCACAGGGGTTTGTTTGGTTACAGCAGTACAGGATGGCTGCTTTTGGTTTGGCTTTGGTGGTAGTATGAGAAGATTTTGTTCAAACAACCAAAGGTGTTCTTGGTGTAGAAGAGATTTCATGTTGGCTCTTCTTATTCATCTGCCAATCAACTTTCCATCTACACAACTTATTTTTATTGGATATTCCTCTTCTGCAGCAATTCACAGAGCGTTATCTATCTCAAATGAAGCTTCATGCAAATAGAAGAAAAAAAAAGGAGGTAGCCATGTTGGCCCATAAAAAAAACCCTAAAGCCACATTGTGTCACCACACCTTTATTAGAAACAACTAAAATGTCACCATCATGAACAAGCTTTTGAGTTTTGCAGAGCAGAAGCCACTCCTTGGGATGGGGAGATGGTATTTTACATGCAGCGTGCAATCACTGAGAAGGTTCTACCCCGAATCACATAAGAACGTAAGAAAAGGCTGATGGATCAGGCCAAAGGCACATCTAGTCCAACATCCTGTTCTCACAGTGGCCAACCAGATGCCTCTGACCATGGAGACAGAGCATAGCCACTGATAAGACTTATCCTCCATGAATTTATCCAGTCCTCTTTTCAAGCCATCCATAGCTTAACTAAGCATAGTGTGAATAATTCTGCCTGAGCCTTATAATGCCCCTGAGTTCTAATATTGTGAGAGGAGCAAAGCTTTTTCTCTACCCACTTTCCCGCACCATGCACAATTTTATACACCTCTATCATGTCCAATACAAGGAAAGGTCTTCTTTGAATAACTGGGTCCAGTTGAATTGTTCAGGGCTTTGTATGTGAACACTAAAATTGGACTCAGTATCACATAGGCCAGCCTCATACACTCTGGTGACCTCCAGATGATTTGAACTACAACAACCACAGAGAAGTAGTCCAAAACACATGGAAGATACTAGGGGGTTCAACACCGAGACAGGTAGCCAGTGCAAACATTTGCCGCTAAAATATCTGGGTCCTGTAACTAGGAACTGAAGCCTGATTCTGCATGTCTTATGCACTGCTGAAATTTGCTCTGGGCTCTCTGCTCTGCTGCCACAGTTTAAGCTGTACTTTCCTCAGACAGCTGCAGATCCAGGAAGAATGTGTCTTTATTCCAGCATTATCTTGTAGTTTTAAATACGTTTCTACCAGCAACTGAAAGCCAGAATGAACTTTGGTGGATGCAAATTGGCTTCCGTTTATGGAAATATAGGCTTGAGAAGAAACAATACTGCAAAAGAAACAGAGGGGATCAAATATTCTCTGGAGCCAAAGTTCAGAGAAGCATGTCAAATGGGTTGGGTGGAGGAAGCAGGAATCAAGGGTGTGCACTGCGATTGTCAGCTCAATCTCTCTCTCTCTGTCTCTGTCTCTGTCTCTGTCTCTCTCTGTCTCTCTCTGTCTCTCTCTCTCTCTCGTTCTAGTTGCTTGGAGGCTTATGATCTGACCCACTTTACCCTCTGACCAAAATAATATTTGTGGGTCACAGATGGCTTCCTGTGAGGCAAAGACCTAGCTGAACTGTTTGTATCTCATTGCGGCAGTAATTATATCCTTCTGGTTTTGAGTCATAGCATGAGAGAGGGAAATTTTTAAACTGTAAAGAAGCAAAAGAACTCAGGGGAAATGTACAAATACAGCTGGTGCCTGCTGCCCTCTTTGCTACCAGCTCTCCCTGACTGTGAAAACTGACGTAGGCTGAACTATAGATGAGAGACTGGATTTCATGTTGGATTTCAGCTTAGCTATGAATGCAGTTGTCAGCTGTAAGCAACTCCCTGCCCTTCTGATTTTCCTTCCCACTCCCAAATATACAGTATTGTGGGGACATTATACTTTATATCAGCCTTCTCCAACATGGCAACCTCTAGATGTTGCTGGACTCAAATTCCCATCGCCCCAGCCAGCATGTGGTCAGGGATGGTGGGAGTTGTTGCCTAAAAAATCTGGAGGGCAATAGGTTGGGGAAGGCAGTTCTAAATGTCTGTGTTGACATAATCCTAACATTAGCACTTCTATATTTTTTTTAATAAGATATTTATTAGGATTTTTAAAAAAATATTACAATACAAAATGAAAAAAAAACAAACAAAATAAAAATGATTAAAAACACTCAGATTTTCCATTGCTTATTTTTCTTTAGCTTGTTTCCCAGACCTCCTCATACCTCCCTTTTTTGTATTCCAGTTCAGTTTGTTGGTTCAGCAAATCCTTACCCTCTTTATTTATCCTATTCTTTGGTCTTAAAATAGTAA